TATCACAAAGCAAGACATTTATGCTACGTTTGGTGTGCAAGAATGGAATGCCCATTCCAACCATTCATTTGTTTGGTATGCAACTTAAAATGGGAATGGCCATTCCATTGGAATGAAAATACATTCATGGGAATGAAAATCTATTCTGTAACTAAACCTATGGAATGGCCATTCCATTCCCAAGTAATTTATTTTAAAAAATTAACTTCCCAAAACATCCTCATATTCCAAGTCCAAAAACTATCATTACCGTCCACCACAATCATCTCCGCCTTTCACCACCACCATCACTGCCTTCCACCACCACAGACTTTCACCATCACTCACCATTTTCCACCACTGCCACCGCCACCGCTACCACCAGCGTTTGCCACAACCACCACCACCGTCTTTCACCACCGCTACAGCTACCGCCACCGCCACCACCTTCCACTACCACCACAGCTATTGCCTTTCACCACCTTCCACCACCACCGCTGCCATCGCCTTTCACCACTACCACCACGGCTGCCATCGCTTTTCACCACTGCCACCATCTTCCACCACAATCATCTCTGCCTTTCACTACCACCACCATCTTCCACCACCGTCACCGCCATAGCCCTACACCACCACCGCCACCGCCACTTTTCACCACCACCGCCGCCGCCTTCCATAACCACCAACGCCACCACCATCGCTTTCCACCACCGCCATCGCCTTTTACCACCTTCTATCACCACCACCACCATCACCTTCCGCCACCGCCACCGCCACCGCTACTGCCGCCACTTTTCACCACCACCACCGCCTTCCACTACCGCCACCACTACCACCGCCGCCACCGCCTTCCACCACCACCACTATCGTTAATTTTATTTAATTTAATTGTTACTAAGAGGGATATTTTGGAGAATTCAATTAGAAATTTATTCCATTCTAAATTTTAAATTGGTCAAACCAAACATTAGAATGGTTATTATCATTCTATTCCTACACATTTCATATTTACAACCAAATAATAGAATGAGAATGACCATTCCATTATATTCCCATTCTCATTCCATTCCCGCTTACATTCCATTTCATTCTGCACACCAAACATAACATTATTTTAAGATGAAAGGAATACCACCTAGTTTTACCCGTATTTACAATTCCAACTAAAATTTACCCGCATTTAAAAGAATAATTAGATATAGTAATAATATCACATAAGTGTTGTTCTACTTTATAAAAAAATAAAACAAAAATCAATGAAAGTCAAAATCTTTCAACTTTTGAAATACGTTATCTATTTTTATATTTTTTTAATTCGGAAAATTGGACATAATTCAATTTTGTGGAGATTGCTGAGTTTCTGTTACCCATATCTTACTCCACAGTTACTTTGTTTTCTTTTACAAAATTGTTGTAGACGAAAGAAAACAATGAAAGTAAGAAGATATGGAGAGAAGGATGTACATGTGATAAAAATAATCTATTTTAAAGGTTTATTTTTTCATTTTGTTTGAATTAAAAATAATAATTACATATGTATCAATAATTATTATTTAGGTCTACAATATCTTCCAAACTTTTATTTCAAAATATTAAATTATTCCACTTAAATTAAGTACTTTCTTCATAATTTATTTACTTAGAAAAAATTGAAAAACAAAATATTTTTGTTAACTTTGAACTATACTGCTATAAGTTTCATATATATATATATATATATATATATATATATATATTTGGCTTAATTAATTACACATTTTTTATTATAAAAAAATAGTTGTTGGTGTATCATTTACTGAAACAACCATTTAGTTTTTTCACGATCTCCCTCCCCATGCATGTGTTTTGTGTATATATTTTCTTTGGGTATGAAAGTTTTTACATTTGTAGGTTGGAAAAAGCTTGTATTAGGCCATATAAGTAGGTATCTCCTTCTTATGCTGATATGGACTAACAATTGCATGACACGTGTCTCAAAAAATTAAACTTAAATTATGCGAATCTTTTCACCGATCATCCAAAAGAAAAGAGAATTTTTTATTTTTTTATTTGTTTGAGATTTTCTCTCACACGCATGTGTGAGTCTGGATAACCCTCTCTCTCTCTCTCAGTCATGATTCATTCTCTCTTCCCACCAAATCACCATTGATAACCACCATCTTCCTAATTCTGAAACCCTAATATCATTATCTCTTTTACCGACCTTCACTGTTTGCTGATCTCCTCCATTCTCAAACCCTAATACTTTAATTGCAAACTTTAGAGTTTAGAGATTATTCAAGACAGACGGGTATATATATAGATGCTAATCAGCAACGAGAGAATTGATCCTTCGTGTCGAGGCCGTTACCTAATTCAAATGGAAAGCAATCCCAAGAATCAAAGATGCACACCACTAGAGCGTAACAAGAGTACCGGGGCATGGATAGCTACAATCAAATGCTGATTCCGCTTTGAAGGCAACACCTACTGGAATTTGGAGGCACATTCATTCCCTCTGTTGCAATCCTATCTCTAGAATGACACAAGATGACAACTATTAGGCTAATTGACTTCTTTGAAATTTCTATAAAATCGTTGGGGGTTGATTTTCCAATTTTTTTTTTGGACTATTTGTTTAGTTTCTTGTGTAACGGATTGCAATATGAATGGTTTTCTTTCTATATTAACATTTGGGTGATTTAATGTTTTGGAGAGAAAATCTCAAACAAATAAAAAAAATAAAAAATCCTCTTTTCTTTTGGATGATCCGTGAAAAGATCAGTATAATTTAAGTTTAATTTTTTTAATTTTTTTGGACACATGTCATGCAATTGTTGTTCCATATCAACATAAGGAGGAGATGCCTACTTATATAGCCTAAGGCAAGCTTTTTCCTTGTAGGTTTATATTGGTATGAATTTATGTGCGTATAAAATTCATTATAAATATAGTTAAAGTTATGTGCACAACAAATTATATATACACACACACACACACACACACAAAATGAATTTACACTTACCAAAAAAAATTCTATATATAAAATGAATTTTCACTAAATTATTTGTATATTTCTAAATTGAAATTTGCCGTTTTGAACCAACGATTGAAGTTAAGTGCACATATTTTTTCCTATATATATATATATATATATGTTATTATTATTATTATTATTTTTATTTTGGTAATATATACACCACATGAAAAATTGCCCGCCAAGTTGAAAGTAAAATCTTGTTTTTTTAAATTTCTTAAATGAAATAATTATTTGATTTAGGAAGGATATTTTGATATTTTAAAATAAGAATTTGGATGTTATTTTGAACTTAAACAATAATTTTCAATGCATATGTAATTATTTTACTTAAATCAATCAAATTAAAAAATTAATTTTTAAAATAGACTAATTTGTTATTTACAACTCCTAATTCTATTTAAGTATAGTTTTGACTTATATATTATTATAGAGAGAAAGTAATAAATTGTGAACAATCAGATTTCATGTTTTTTTTTTAATCTAATTTCGCCGTAAATGGGTTTCTTGAATACTGAGGCTATTTTGCACATATTGTATATAGAAAAGATGGTTTTTTTTTTTTTTTTTTTTTTTTTTTTTTTTTTTCTAATTATTATTATTATAGAGAATTATGTTTAAAATCTCTTTCAAAAGAGCAACTTATTGAGATAAGAATAAATTAAGAAAAGGTAATTTGTGATAGAATTTTTTTTTTTTTAAAATAATAATAAATGATAGAAACTTAAAATAGGATAGTAAATTAGTAAAAGATAATATGTGATTGAAATTATTTTTAAAAAAATTTAAATAAGTGATAAAAATTCAAAATATGATAGGAGTTTTTTTTATTTAGGAATTTATTTTTATTACTTTTTATAGATAATAGTATAGATTGGATATAGATAAAATAATATAGAAACTCTTTCTACTTGGCTAATGGCTTTCTCCGATCAACGCCCACAATGACAACAAATCAACGCAAAGATGACGATGGCAAATAGGATGGTAAGATTATACTTTCTTCACCGTTTTCAATTTGCCAGCCCATCATACCTCAAAGGTCCAAATATATGTTCATGTATTTACTATTTTATATTTACAATTTTTTAATATATATTTTTTAGTAATATAATGTTATTTCTCATATTTCAATTAATTTAGAAACTTAAATAAGTTATTTATAGGCATATGAAACTATTATCATGAACTCAAGAGACTCAAATAATGTACCACATCATGGTAGAATAAAAAAGGATTTTTATTACTATTGTGGTGTGAAATATCCTTTGAGTTTCATAACATACAAAAATTATTTGATGATGTCCTGTGAGTTAACGAGACAAGTAAATTATGAGCACAATGAAGTTTAGAGGGAGCTTAATTTAAAACGAGATATAACAATAAATGCTGTCATCTTTGAAAGCATAAAATTGTAATTACAATCATGTGGATAAGAATTTGAAGGTTGAACATTTTCTTACTGAGGAGAGAATCAACTTTGTGGATACATAACTTGTTACTATTAAGAGGACTATGAAGTATAAAATTATTTATTTAATTTTTTTTTATGTTGGAATTTTTATCATGTTACATAATGAAAATTATTTATCCAAAAGTTTGAATTTGAAACCTGATACTTCATGAGACACAGAATCACCAGCTAAAGCCAACGGGACCTAATACTCCATGAGACACAGAATTTGAGTCCTCTCACCAGCTAAGCCAACCCCGTTGGATTCAGCACCATCAATCATACCATGAATTAAGTATTTATTTATTTTTTTTGGACTTTTTTTTTTTAATTGTTGTCCAACATATCACTATTATTATGAGAATATATCAGTTCTCTTTGCTAATAAATTGCACATATGCAGAACCATAAAACTTAAAATGCAAAGTAAGGTTGTCAACGCAAATTTGATCAATAGAAACTTAAAAATATATAAATAAATAAGAAAAATACAAATTGGACTCGAAAACAAAAAAAAATTAAAACATCAGACAATTATATTCAACCCCACATATCTTGTCCTCCATCTATGTATGATTTTTGAACATATATAATTATGCATAGGGTCAGCCTGGGAACTGATGTTCAAAAACTTCTCCACACACAATCAATCCGCGGCAAGAATTATCCCCTATTTTGAACAGACCACAACTACCAAATTTAACGCCACCATTCTTGACTCATCTTTACCACCAGACCTATGTCACCGAGTCCAACTCACACAATCACCATTCAATCAATCTCACTCCCTTCTTGGGTCCGCTCAAAACAAATAATCAACCACTTTTAGTACCCTAGCTGCAGGTTTACCCTAGCTATACCAAATTTATTCAACTAGGTTCGTTCAATCTGAAGCCGAAGATGTCCTTTTCGGTGATTCGGAGACGATATGGGCCGATAGCGAGGAGAAGAAGAGGAAGAGTCAGACGAAAAGCACAAATACAAGAAACTAATGCAACATAGATAGCTTCCTTTTGGTGAGCGATTTTATGTTATGGGGTGCATTTAAGTGTCTTTCGTTTTTTTGTTCTAATGACTTTTGAGTTTATATAAAATCAAATGAGTATTGCTATTTTACCATTGGATTGAGACAGTTTTTTTTTGAAGATTCATGAAAAGTCAAATAATTCATTTAATAATGTCTTTCAATTAAGCGGTTAAATATGGAGAACTTATTACTCAAATAAAATTCGTTGTCTTACATTGTTTTTTCGAAGAATTACTCACTTGTTACTAGTTTAAGGTGGTCGAAATTGTTCAAATTTGAGACCTTAATTGGGAATATCTTTATGAAGTTCTTGAGAATTTTAAGTACTTGTTGTTCAATTTGGTCCAAGGAATGGTAGTTGTTTGGTATTATTGGATTAATTCAGCCATTATTAGTTTTTGGAATGTTAACAAGTTTAGTTTGAACCTTTGAGGGTTATTTTATCTTTTATCATGGTTGATTGTTTTGTGTTGAAATGCTCACCTCCATGGGTTCTAACCAAATTAATGCGCAAGAGGTTCATGTAATTTAGACAGTAGAGATCTGGCAGTCACATTTTACATTTTATCGGTGTTTACGGTTTGGTAAAAATTAGATTGTATCCCTTTTCCTAATAAGAACTTGAAGGTTCCAATTTTGAACCCAGAACTAGATTGAAGGAGTCTGGTGATCTTGCTCTGATTTTGATCCTGAACTGAACTTGGTTCCCTCATTAAACTTACTGATAGTAGGGTAGGGGGTCCTTGCTAAACGTACTCGAGTCATATGATGTCTTAACTGTATGGTTCAATACTTACACATGGAGTAATTACCAAGCTACGATGGTGCATTACAGATTACCGAACATGTCCCGTATTAAACTAATCCTGTGCCACATGGGAGAATTAATAATCACATATAGAAGTCCGGAAATTAAAAATTATGGTACTGGTAAAAGAAACATGGAACCAAATCTTTCTTTTTCTGGCTTTTTCTATAAGAAACTAAAAGGAATTCTAAACTATGGTTACACGCCAAAAATGGTATCAAGTAAGGAAGCAGAGCCTAGCCCCTTCACATATTTTTTTATGCTGGCGGTGGACAATTAAGATCCTCAAATCAGGTGATAACAGTATTATGTTTTCTCCCAGCTGGGGATCACCTTGTGTAATATATGAAAGTCCTATATCACAATTATTGGATAAAATGTACCTTAAAAAAAGGTATGGAGTCACTACATTATAATAAAAACAATCATTTAGGTGAATTAATATAAACAAACACACATAACTTATACAGACATTGTTGGATTCACTGCTCAAGATTCCTGGACACCTACAATTAATATTGAAAAGTAAAGAAGTGGGGCAGAGTGACAAGAAAAAGAAAAAGCCAAAGCTTCAACTTAAAGTTGAGGATATTGATTTCATTGGAAGCAAGAAGCAGATTCAGCTGGCTTTATTCCATTTGAGATGAGTATATAAGGCCAGGCAGATTGCAAGCAGAACACAAGCCCTCTTTACTACTCTCATCAATCTGTCTCTTGCTCCTACTTTCCGTACGCCAACATGGCCAACAAGTTAACTCCTGCAGGTTCATACCTCCAACCCCAAACTCCTACAGGTTCATACCTCCAACCCCAAACTCCTGCAGGTTCTTCCCTCCAACCCCAAACTCCTGCAGGTTCTACCCTCCAACCCCAAACTCCTACAGGTTCATACCTCCAATCCCAAACTCCTACAGGTTCATACCTCCAACCCCAAACTCCTGCAGGTTCTGCCCTCCAGCCCCAAACTTCTGCAGGTTCATACCTCTATCCCCAAACTCCTGCGGGTTCATACCACCAACCCCAAACTCCTGCAGGTTCATACCTCCATCCCCAAACGCCTGCAGGTTCTGCCCTCCAACTGATGAAAAGTCCTGACCGCAGGAGCATGTTCGTGTCTTCCGATGACAGCATCATGATGAGGCAAATTCTGGCTACTCATGCTCCTGATGGCCGTGAGGTTAATGTTAAACCTCTTCTCTACGTCGTTGAGGACATCCTCCGCCGTTCCACCCTCAATGTTGATGGCCTTTTACTGGTATAAACCTATGATATATCTCCTTTTCCTTCAATAAATATTTAAAGAAATCTGCATTTGTATTGAATTCAAGTGGTGCAAATAAGATCCCTTTTTACTCTTTTATTTTTTATTGATTCATGCAAATGTAAAATGCATACATTAAATATAAGTTAATTTCTTTTTTTTTTTGCTAATATTTTATTTTAACTTGTGATTTCACTGAAGGATGGTACCCAAGCACAAAAGGAAAACATGGAAGACAAAAGCAATCAAGCCGGTGTTGATCTCATGCTTGACTCATTGTTATATACAATTGAACGGATCTCCTGCGAGGTTATTATATATGGGATATATACAGAATTCATGTTTCATACTATATATGATTAAAAAATTCAATTCTTGTATGTATAGTTATAATTAATTATTGTATCTCCTGAATTAATATTCTATCCTATTTAAATCGATCAACATTTTTAATATAAATGTATTATCAGATGGAAAGCAAGTGTTTGAGTGGAGCAGAAGGACACGCAACAACACTCCCTCTGTTTAATGTGTTATCAGAGTTTTCATGGGAGGCTAAGCTGGTGCTAACCTTAGCAGCTTTTGCTTTAAAATATGGGGAATTCTGGCTCCTTTGCCAGATTTACTCATCAAACCAACTTGCAAAATCAATGGCAATCCTTAGGCAATTACCCATCATCATGGAGCACTCGGGCTCATTGAAATCGCGGTTTGATGCACTTAACAATCTCATCAGGGCCATCTTGGATCTGACAAGGTGTATCGTGGAGTTGAAGGATTTACCATCTATCTACAAGCAACAGGAAATACCAGCATTGACCACGGCCAATGCTACTATCCCAACTGCTGTCTATTGGGCCACCAGAGGTGTCATTGTTTGCGCAGCTCAGATTATCAATCTCAGTGCCACTGGCCACAAGTATGTTTATTGTCATGCACAAAATTAATGGTTATATATATATATATATATATATATTTATACATATGCATGGCTTCAATCATAACAACCATTATAATAGTGTAGTTGAAAATTTTGATATATGTAACATAATGATAATGAGGTAATACATACGTTATAATAATTCTGTTAAATGACCATGCCTGGTTCTTCATGACATTTAAGAAATTAAAGCTCTTGCAACTGCTTTCAGCCTACAGGAGTCATGGGAACTATCAACCTTGACTCACAAGATCAACAGCATACTCGAGCATCTTAGGAAACAACTGTTTACTTGCTACCAACACATAGGTAATTACTGACCAACCATTTGAATTCACACAAGTACTGTTATTGCACAGACACTATAATGCCCAAAAAATAATGTTAACTGTCAAAACATTGCTGTTTCATACAGAGGAATGGAGGAATGTTGAAGCTTATGATGCACTGCAGCACATATTTGAAATGATCCACATTGACAACATGAAAGTTCTCAAAGCCCTAATTTACGCCAAGGATGATCAGCCACCACTCCTTGATGGTGTTTCAAAGAAAAGGGTTTGAACAAATCACTCCAAGTTTAAAAAATTTATGGAATTCAATGTTGATTAACTTGATTCTACTTCAATTTAATATCTTTTAATTAATTGTATGGCAAATTAAACAGGTGAACCTTGAAGTTCTGAGGAGGAAGAATGTGTTATTGCTGATATCTGGCCTAGACATTTCCCAGGACGAGCTTTCGGTTCTGGAGCAGATTTACAATGACTCAAGGATCCACGCATATGAGGTGGTGTGGATGCCAATTGTGGAACATTGGGTCCAGTGGACTGAACCCATGCAGAAGCAGTTTGAGAGCCTGCAGGCCACAATGCCATGGTTCTCGGTGAACCACCCTTCATTGATTGAGAAGCCGGTCATCAGGTTCATCAAGGAGAAATGGCACTTCAGGAACAAGCCTATCCTTGTGGTGCTCGACCCACAAGGAAAGGTGTTAAGCCCTAATGCAATCCACATGATGCTGATATGGGGAAGTGGTGCCTTCCCTTTCACTAGCTTGAGAGAGGAAGCTCTTTGGAATGAAGAGATTTGGAGGCTTGAATTGCTGGTGAATGGCATTGACCAAACAATTCTGAATTGGGTAAGTATTTCCATCATATATATGACTTCAGACAAAAACCAATATAATTAGCATATGATAATGGTATCAAAGTAAGGATGGTGATGATGATCTTATAGCAGCATGTAGTTTAGATTAGTTTTAAGAGTTGAATATCTTGTTTATTTTAGATAAGAGACGGAAAATACATATTCGTGTATGGAGGGGATGACATTGCGTGGATTAGAAAATTTACAACCACAGCGCGCTCTGTGGCATTGGCTTCTGGCATCCCATTAGAGATGGTGTATGTGGGAAAGAGCAGCAAAAGGGAGCAAGTCCGGCGTGTCATCTCGACCATCATGATGGAGAAACTGAGTCACTGCTGGCAAGAGATGGCCATGATATGGTTTTTCTGGACCCGTTTAGAGAGCATGCTGTTCTCCAAGATTCAACTAGGTAGAGGCGATGACAATGACCCCATGATGCAGGCGATCAAGAAAATTCTCAGCTACGACAAGAGTGGTGGATGGGCCGTGCTGAGCAACGGATCATCCGTGGTGATCAATGGACACAGCAGCACTGTGTTGCCTGCATTGTCGGAATACGATATGTGGAAGGAAAATATATCTGTCAAAGGCTTCGACCCATCGATTAAGGAGTACCATGACAAGCTTCACAGCGCGGCTCATCCATGCTGTCGTTTCGAGTTTCCGACCACTGCCGGGAGGATTCCGGAGAATATGAAATGCCCAGAGTGCCTCCGCAGTATGGAGAAGCACTCTACTTTTGTCTGCTGCCATGACGAAGGTGGTGCTGTAAGCGCCCTATATTGAGTCATTACTATATATGTAGTTTGATTATGTACACTATACTGCTATAGTGACTAAAATAATGTATGTCGTGTGAACTACTTTTATCTACTACTGTATTTAGTATGATTTGAGTTTGAGATACTAAAGGTCTGATGCTGTTAATAAAACTCTTCAGTGATATTGTAATGGCACAATTTATAATGATAAGCTAAAGGGTGTTTTTTGAATAGTAATTGGCTTGCAGTAGTACTCTGTGGCAATGGCAATCGCTAATGTACGCTTGCTTTTAGTTGCAATGTTGAAAGTGGCATATACGAATGGGAAAGACACATCGAATGATAGAACTCGGCGTGGAATCTCCATCTGTCCCATGGAAATTAAGGTCTTGATTACTATCAATAATCCAAATTGTCAAGGTTGCACCAACTATGATTAATGCCTTGTTCTTCTTCAAACTCAATTCTAATAATCAGTTTCATCATTTTATGCTCTATCCTTCATCTCATTTTGCAAATGGCATTTGCAGATATATAGACTACCATCATTTCCCTCTCTGGAAGCTTTAGATGCAAAGACCCAGCTACATCGATTCCCTAATCTTTTTTATTTATTTACTCAATTTTTTTTTTCCTTCGAATAATTAGGTTGTTTGGTTTGTCAATCTTGTAAAAGAGATTTTTATTTTTTATTTTTTAACAATTTTCTGAATTTCAATTATTAAAATACAGAAAACTGTATCAAAACGTTGAACCAATTAGGTTGATTTTTTCCCAATCCTCGAGGAACCTAGGACTCCTGCTGCTAATATTTTCATATATATATTCTCCATAGCCAACAGCAGCTCACCGATGAAATGAATGGCTTTTTTTTTTTGGACCTGCTCAACAATTCAGTGTCTGAGAAGTGAGAACTCAACGAGTTCCCATGTGCTTTCTATTTTAACAATGTTTATTTGGCACCATAGCTTGACAAAAATCGGGATGTGTTAAAAAATTAAAATAAAAACTACAAAGTCCACCAAAATAAAAGTTATATTACTACTCCGCATTTAAGCTGCAAGTATTCTCATTTATAATTAAAATAGAAATTCAAGACAAAAGAAAAGCATTCTCATTTTATTTTTTAGGAATGAAAAACTATATTGATATATATAAGATACATATACAAGGCTACAGGCCCATTTTAAGCATGGGCCAAGCCACACAATAAGAGGAAGGATTATACAAAAATACTCCTATGCCCATGCGAAGAGACCATACCCATCTCCTGTGGACGGATAACTGGAAACTTAACCCAACATTTAAACAAAGAGTAATGATCTCACCTACAGAAGTATGAGCTCTCTTTTTTTTTAATTATCGAATTGAGACAATTTATTTAAATATTTAAAAAACCAAATGAGTTATTTAATAAGCCAGTTAATTCATTGGTTAAGAAGAGCTCATCATGAGAAGACTTTTATTATAGCATCTCTCACAAACAAATTAAAGTTCTTGAGTAGAATGAATGGAGGAGTAAATGCTATTAATTAAAGACCAATTAACATCTTCAACTCCCGTTGTTCTTGCGACGAGTGAGAGAGTACATAACCAATGGTATATTTGATTGGAGGAAAGGATTGAGAAGGGATGGATAAGAGGGGATAAAAGATTTTTTTTTTTTTGTATTTGATTAAAGGGAAAGGAAGAGAGGGAGAAAGAAAGTAGGGATGAAACCATCCTTTCATTATTTTTTTTTATCAGCCCAAAATTAGGGAGAAGAGAAAAAAAGAAAAAACAACAAAAAAAAATAATAACCAACAAATATGTAATTTTCATTTTTAATCTTCCAAAAGTTTGTTGCGTAATTTGAGATGGATGTTTGATTTTTATAATTTTATATCTACATCACACAGGATGTACCGGCATTGTCCACGGCCACAGCCACTATCCCATCTGCTGTCTATTGGGCCATTAAAGGCGTCGCTAGATCATCAGATTATATATCAATCTCAGTGCCAATGGCCACGAGTATGTTTATTGTCATGCTTAAAATAGATATATAAATTAATATGCATATCTTCAATCATACTTAATTAACAACCATTATAATTGTGTAGTTCAACAATTTGATCCATATATATATATATATATATATATATATATAATGATCATGAGGTAATACGTACTCGTACATTCCAATAATTCTATTAGAAGAACGTACGTGAATGCATGGTTCTTCATGACATATATAAGAAATTAAAGCTCTTGCAACTGGTTTCAGCTTACAAGAGTCATCGGAACTATCTACCTTGACTCTCATGATCAGCAACATACTCGACCATCTTAAGAAGCAACTGATAACTTGCTTTCAATACATAGGTAATTGTAGACCTACCATTTAAATTCACACAATGCCTAAAAAATTAATGATATTGACATTAGTGTTTCATGCAGTGGATAAGAGGAACGTTGACGCACTGCAACATTTATTTGAAATGATCCACATTGACAACATGAAGGTTCTCAAAGCCCCAGGGAAGATCAGCTACCACTCCTTGATGGCGCTGCAAAGAAAAGGGTTTGAACAAATCACTCCTAGTACTCCATTCTGGAATCTTGTGATGATCAATGTTGATTAACCCGATTCTAATGAAACTTAATATCTTTTAATTAATTGTATGAAAAATTAAACAGGTGAACCTTGAAATTCTGAGGAGTAAGAATGTGTCATTGTTGATATCGGGTCTAGAAATCTCCCGGGAAGCTAGAGATTACGGTACTGGAGTAGATTTACAAGGACTCCACGATCAATGCATATGAGGTGGCGGTATGGATTCCAATTGTGGAACATTGGGTCCAGCGGACTGACCCCACGCAGAAACAGTTTGAGTTTTTTTATTTTTTCATATTTTGTTTTTCATTTTTATGATAAATTGATATTAATATTATAGCTTGAGTTATTTTGTTATAAGGGAAAGGGAGGGAAAGATTTTAATTTTTAATGAAACTTTGTTAATGTTAAAATTATTTTTATTTTTATTTTTATAAAAGATAAAAAATATGAAAAGGGAATGGCAATAAATTCATTAAAATAGTTTCATTTCCTTTCTTTCTTTCTTTCTTTCTCTAATTACTATCAATTTTTTTATTTTTATTTTTTATTTTCCTTTATTAGTAAACCAAACACGATAAATAGCTTACAATATACTCTCATTTACTTTCTTTTTTTTTTTTATTCCATAACTAACGTTATTCCTTCTCTTTCTTTTCCACCGAGGACTATGGAGAAAGTATACAAATATCACTAGATATACAATGTGGTATTTGGACCAATGAACACTCATTATTGATATCGAGAACTCCCTATTTCATTATTATTAATGAGAATGGACCCCACACACTCTTCTCTCCCTTTGTGGTAATATTAGCCATTGTAGCATTGCTTACTCTATAATTTTGTGTCATAATTTTATATAAAATTTGTTTAGGGTTTCACGATTGGATGAAAAACGATGCGTTGTATGCTCAGTTTCATTTCCATTGCTTTAGTGTAATTTTAGCTTCTAATATCATGGTAAATGGTACTGGATTATTTGATTTAATCATCCACTTATGTTGAATGCTTGAATAAGTTGTCAATTTCTGATTGGTAGTTGAGATTTTTAGCTTCCACGGCATCCGCTTAACTGGACGTGGTTTTGATATTAATAGCAGCCGAGAGTTATGTCCTTTTAATTGTATATTTTGCCTAGTTTATGTGTAAGTAAGTCGTAACTCAAGGGATTATTTGCTAATCACTGATTTTTCAGGAAATTTATTGCAATTAATCCTATTATTCTTAAGTAGTCTATATTCCTAAGTTGAATAAAACACCCCAATTACCCATTAAAAAGGACAAGAAAACATATAATAAAAGGTTAAGTGCAAAAAGATTCCTCTACTATAGATATAGTGTAAAAAAAGTCTATGTATGGTACAAAACTTCCCTATACTATCAATTTGGTGCAAATAGATCCATGTGTGATATAAAATGAAGATAATACCCTTACTTCAGTTGAATTGTTATGAAAAAGGATCGAATAGGAGTTTGTGAGAACAAGAGAAAAATAAATGTCAAAAAAAAAAATAGGCACACACACAAACGAGACAAGAATTTATACACGGTGCGGCTATGCCTACATCCACGGGGAGAAGACAGAACAATATTTCACTATAGAAATAAAGAGATACAAGACAAAATGGCTCACACCCAAAACTCAATTACACCCAAACTCTCTCACCCACTAACTGATATTACAAACTCACTCAATTGATTTGGGATGCTTCAACACCATGGAGGGCAAGGCTATTTATAACCAAAATGGGACACCAAAATGAGGCTACTTGGAGACCACTCAAAAGACTTGCTGGGCACACATTATTGGAGGCCAAGAATAAAGCTTGATGAACACATATACTTGGAGGCCAAGAAGATGATGTCATGGGTGATGCAAGCCTCAAATTGAGCCACATGTTCAACAAATCTCCACCTTGGCGAAATTTCAAATGAGTCACTGTATCTCTGCAAAACAAACTGTCTTCTCCACAAAACAAATTAATAAAGAATTTTAGTGAAGTTTGAGTCATCCTCAAACTTAATCCTCGGGCTTTCATTCTTCAACCCATGCATGTCTTGCGCAGCCACAAGCATACCTCAAGTATTTGTGTCAAACTCTAAATGCTTACCAAAAACAACCTCAGAAATTCCAAATTTGACATCTCCTTCAGCAACCTTCTCCAACCGCCCACAAACCACCGGCTGGTAACGAAAAGTCATCATCTCACCCTTGTAGAGAATAGGACGTCCTTGACTTTTCCTCGCATCTCTATTGTGACCAACTGCTTGCCTCCCACCCATCTTAATGGCACTCGAATGGACTATCTCATTGCCACCAAGATTATTGCAAGTCAATATCACACCTGTCCTTATAGGTCTGCCTGCCTGTAAGGACTGCTGCAATTTCGGTTGCCATTTGAAAACGGATTTCATTTTCCCACCATGTTCTGTAGTCCCCTCACAACCATTTTGAGAACTAGGATCGTAACTCCTTTTTCTAACTATTCTTTTGCCAAGACCCGAACGCAGATTTCTGCTAACTGTAGAAGACCCTGTAGAAGCTCCACCTGTTACTGGATTCCCTTGGAGAAGATACAAATTTTTTACCTTGGTGCCTTGTAGCACCACAAGAGAATCCATCACGACCATCATTGCTCCACCTTATGTTACAACCTTGTAACCTTTGGAGTCTAGCACACCTACTGAAATAAGATTCATCTTCAGATCCGGTACATGTCGCACATCTGATAATGTTCTCACCAACCCATTGCGCGTCTTGATCTTGACTGTTCCAATTCCCAAAATTTTGAAAGCTTTCCTGTCCGCCGTCAAAATCGAACCACCTTTCACCTCTTTATAGGAAGAGAAAGAATCCCGACTGGGACATATATGAACGGAACAACCAGAATCAAGAATCCAACTGTCATTAAATGACATACCTGAACACAAGGTTGTCATGAGAACATAATCATCACTTTCCGAATCACTCGTTGTAGCGGTTGCCACAGAAGCTGCTTCCTGAACCTTCTATTTGCCATTCTCATTCTTTGCCTTTAGTTTGGGACAGTGCTTGATGATGCGCCCTATCTCGTGACAGTAGTAACATTCCACATTTTTATGAGATCTAGATTTGCCCCTACTAGCAGAACCCTTTGTCCCACCTTTGCCTCTTACAAATAGACCCTCGGCCTGCTCATCTCCAATATTCTCAGACACCTTTTTCCTCAACTCCTGAGAGTTCAATGAGGATTTAACATCCTTTATACTAATAGTGTGTTTTCCATAGAGCAGTGTGGTAACAAAATGCTCATATGAAGGAGGCAAAGAACACAACAAAATAAGGGCTTGATCCTCGTTATCAATTTTAATATCAGTATTTTTCAAATCCATAATAATAGAATTGAAATTATCAATATGCTCCTTAAGAGGCATATCTTCCTTCATACGAATGGTGTAGAGTCTCTGTTTCAGGTAAAGTCTGTTAGTGAGAGATTTCGTCATATACAGACTTTCTAATTTCAGCCATAACTTTGCCGCCGTGTCTTCATCAATAACTTCACGCAGCACCTCATCAGCTAGATTCAAAATAATCGCACTACGCGCCTTTTCATCGACCTCATCCTTGTCTTCATCGGACATAGTTATTGGCAACTTGTCCTTCCCGAACAACACCTTCTTTAGACCTTACTGAGTCAGCAGGGCTTGCATTTTAATGCACCAAAGACTGAAGCTAATTTTGCCATCAAATTTATCAATCTCGTATCTGGTCGACATCTCAAAAAACTCCACAAAAATTACTCGGTGAATAGTACCGTATTTGTGAACAGTACCCGAATAATATCTGTGAATAGTACCGTATGTGTGAACAGTATCTGTACACAATACACAAACCTGAGCTCTGATACCAGTTTGTTATGAAAAAGGATCGAATAGGAGTTTATGAGAACAAGAGAAAAATAAATGACAAAAAAAAAAAAAAAAATAGGCACACACACAAACGAGACAAGAATTTATACGTGGTTTGGTTATACCTACATCCACGGGGAGAAGACAGAACAATATTTCACTATAGAAATAAAGAGATACAAGGCAAAATGGCTCACACCCAAAAACTAATTACACCCAAACTCTTTCACCCACTAACTGATATTACAAACTCACTCAATTGATTTGGGATGCTTCAACACCATGGAGGGTAAGGCTATTTATAGCCAAAATGGGACACCAAAATGAGACTACTTGGAGACCACTCAAAAGACTTAATGGGCACACATTCTTGGAGGCCAAGAATAAAGCTTGATGAACACATATACTTGGAGGCCAAGAAAATGATGTCATGGGTGATGCAAGCCTCAAATTGAGCCACATGTTCAACATGAATAAATTAATAACTATAAATGTATGCCATATAAAATGATTTTTTTATCCAATTTGTGTAAAATTGTGTTTGTTTGGGACAAGAATAAAATAAACCTCAATTTGTATAAAATTGGAATAAGCTAAACCAAAAAAACCTAAAATTGGATATAATAAAAACCAAAACCAAACAATCCCATACACAAGACACACTTACTGTAGCACTATTTATCCCCCCCCAAAAAAAAAGAAAAAGGAAAAGGCTTCTTCATTCAATCTTTCATCGCTTATCCCAAGCATGTCATTCTTTGTTCATCTTTTCTTTGAAGAGAATTCCGAGAACGATCAAGCATCATAGGAGAAAAAGGTACTCCTTCTTGACCAGGCACCATATGTAATTTAACAGCACCAGAAGACCCACTATGGAATGAAGAAAAAACTGCTAGAATCTTTTATACTTTAATTGGTTCGATCAAAATGAATTATTATAGGAGTGAAGGATAAAGGTTGGCCTAAGCTGAATTTGACAAAATTAATAAAGAAAGAAGAGAAAAACACTATTCAAAGAAGCATCGAGATCCCCTATCTGACTGTTGACCTTTAATTCTTAGGGTTTACCAACGAGGCTTCCTTATCGACCCCCTACAACTCCCTTGTCGAAAAGTAAGTGAAACAGAAGGGTCCACTTGGAATGGATGGTGCGGACTCCCAAAATCACCCATGCCGCCTCCTCCCCACCATGGCCGCCGCCTCCTGCCACCTCCTCCCCACCATGGCCGCCGCCTCCTGCCACCTCTTCCTCACACATAATCACACACTTAGGGGATTCCATCTCACTTTTTCTCACAAGCCCACCTTCAATCCCTTCAACCAAGATAGCGTTTTTTAAGCTTCGTTTGGGTTGAGGGATTTAGAGGGGTTTGGAGAGAAAAGAAAGAAAAGGTTAGTGACTAGTGTGTTTGGATAAGAAAAATGAGATAGAAAAGAAAGGATTGAGAGGGAATTGGAGAGATAACTATTCCTCCAAATCCCTCTTATTGTACCTCTTCAAAATTGACAAGATTTGGAGGGATTTGAAAAAGTATACAATATCATTATTGATGTCGAGGGATTATGGAGAAAGTATACAATATTGCTCAATATACAATGTGGTATATTAATGAGAATGGATAGTTTTCACCACAGATAAAATTTTAACTGTCTATTTTGCCTAGTTTAGAGTGTAAGTAAGTTGTAATTCAAGGGATTATTTGCTAATCTCTGATTTTTCGGGGAATTTATTGCAATTAACCCTATTATTCTTAAGTAGTCTAGGGTTATTCCTAAGTTGAATAGAACACTTGCGCAGTTACCCATTAAAAAGTTCAAGAAAACATATAATAAATAGTGAATTTGGTACAATGACTTTAAGGAGTGTAAGGAATATTATTCTTATTCCATTGTTCAACCCAACCATTTAACTGGAAATAAATATGTATAAATATATATATTTATATAAAATCCTTTCAATTAATCTTTTTAATGGATTATATACCTTGAGATTACTCTAGTCCGATACTTGCAACTACCTTAAAATCAAGTGCAGATAACCTTAAATCAAGAATATCAATCTGAATATGAAATCTTTGAAATTATGTTTAAGACTGTCTTGTTCCTCTTTAATCAAAGACGAGATCTTTCAAATTATGTGCAAGATTGTGTCTCTATGCCAATGCCTGCTGCGACCTGGTTTCTTTAGATCTATCTCGTTCTCATTTTGGATGAAATTGGAGAAAGTCACTGATACACCTGCTGAACTAGAAATCAATTGAACAATGAACCAATATTGGTTCTGTATGTTTTATATAAACTTAACCAACAAAAAAAGAAGAAGTAAATAAAGGTATGTAGTCACTATTTTCTAGTCAAAACGGTACTTTAGATTCTTACAGTTACATGCAATTCAGGAGGGAAAAAAAAAAAGAATGTAGTTACATGCGTGCATATCTTATACTACATACAATGTTTGATTCACTGCTCAAGATTCTAGGACACCTACAATTAATATTGCAAAGTAAAGAAGAGGGGTAGAGTGTCGAGAAAAAGAAAAAAGCTTAAGCTTCAACTTAATTAAAGTTGAAGGGATATTGATTTCATTGGAAGCAAGAAGCAAATTCAGTAGCTTTATTCCATTTGGGATGAGTATATAAGGCCAGGCCGATTGCAAGCACAACATAAGCCCTCTTTACTACTCTCATCATTCTGCCTCTTGCTACTACTTTTCATACCCCAACATGGCCAACAAGTTAACTCCCGCAGGTTCATACCTTCAACCCCAAACTCCTTCAGGTTCATACCTCCAACCCAAAACTCCTGAAGGTTCATACCTCCAACCCCAAACTCCCGCAGGTTCTGCCCTCCAAACCGAAACTCCTGCAGGTTCTGCCCTCCAACCCCAAACTCCTGCAGGTTCATACCTCCAACCCCAAACTCCTGCAGGCTCATACCACCATCGCCACACTCCTGTAGGTTCATACCTGCATTCCCAAACTCCTGCAGGTTCTGCCCTCCAACTGATGAAATCTCCTGACCGCGGGAGCATGTTCATGTCTTCCGATGACAGCATCTTGATGAAGCAAATTCTGGCAACTCATACTCCTGATGGCCTCGAGGTTAATGTTAATCCTCTTCTCCGTGTCGTTGAGGACATTCTCCGCCGTTCCACCCTCAATGCTGATGGCCTTTTACTGGTATAAACCTATAATATATATCATCTTTTCCTTAATAGAAATATTTAAAGTATTCTGCATCTGTTCAAATTCAAGTGGTGCAAATAAGCTCCCTTCCTACTCTCTTATTTTTTATTGATTCATGCATATAGAGTAAATTCTTTTTTTTTTTTTTTTTGCTAATTTTTACTTGTAATTTCACTGAAGGATGGTACCCAATCGCAAAAGGAAAACATGGAAGACAAAACCCATCAAGGCGGTGCCGTTCTCATGCTTGACTCACTGTTATATACAATTGAACGGATCTCCTGCGAGGTTCTTATATATAGCATATATACAAAATTCATGTTTCATACTATATATGACTTAAAAGACCAAAAATAAAATAATTTCTTGTATGTATAAATATAATTAATTTTTGTATCTTGTGGATTAATATTGTAACCTACTTACATCAACTTCGTTTTTTATAAATGTACCATCAGATGGAAAGCAAGTGTTTGAGTGGAGGGGAAGGACACGCAACAACACTCCCTCTGTTTAATGCGCTATCAAACTTTTCATGGGAGGCTAAGCTGGTGCTAACCTTAGCAGCTTTTGCTTTAAAATATGGAGAATTCTGGCTCCTTTGCCAGATTTACTCATCAAACCAACTTGCAAAATCAATGGCAATCCTTAGGCAATTACCTGTCATCATGGAGCACTCGGGCTCATTGAAATCACGGTTTGATGCAATTAACAATCTCATCAGGGCCATTTTGGATCTGACAAGGTGTATCGTGGAGTTGAAGGAGCTACCATCAAACTATATCACACAGGATGTACCGGCATTGTCCACTGCCACAGCCACTATCCCAAGTGCTGTCTATTGGTCCATCAGAGGTGTCGTTGCTTGCGCAGCTCAGATTATCAATCTCGGTGCCGTTGGCTACGAGTATGTTTACTGTCATGCTCAAAATTGATGGTTACACACACACATATCTTCAATCATAACAGCAATTATAATTGTGTTTTCGAACATTTATATATACATATGTATATATAACATAGCGATCATGAGGTAATACGTATGTTACAATAATTCTATTAAAAGACCATGGTTCTTGATCTTGACATGTAAGAAAAGCTATTGCAACTGGTTTCAGATTACAAGAGTCCTGGGAAATATCTACCTTGGTGTACAAGATCAACAACATACTTGAGCATCTTAAGAAGCAACTGGCTAATTGCTACAAACACATAGGTAAGTATTGACCAACCATTTAAATGCTCACAAGTACTTCTTGCAGAAACTCTATAATGACCAAAAAATGGTTAGTCAAACTGTCTAAACATTGCTGTTTCATGCAGAGGATAAGAGGGACGTTGAAGCTTATGACACACTGCAGCATATATTTGAAATGATACACATTGACAACATGAAAGTTCTCAAATCCCTAATTTACGCCAAGGATGATCAGCCACCACTCCTTGACGGTGCTTCAAAGAGAAGGGTTTGAACGAATTCACTTCTAGTGCCCCTGGAATTTTGTGATTACCAATGTTGATTTACTCAATTATACTGCAATTTAATATCGTGGTATCTTTCAATTGTATGGCAAATTAAACAGGTGAACCTTGAAGTTCTGAGGAGGAAGAATGTCTTATTGCTGATATCAGGCCTAGACATCTCCCAGGATGAGCTTTCGGTTCTTGAGCAGATTAATAATGACTCGAGGATTCACGCATACGAGGTGTTGTGGATTCCAATTGTGGAACATTGGGCCCAGTGGACTGACCGCATGCAGAAGCAGTTTGAGAGCCTGCAGGCCACAATGCCATGGTTCTCGGTTAACCACCCTTCATTGATCGAGAAGCCGGTCATCAGGTTCATCAAAGAGAAATGGCACTTCAGGAACAAGCCTATCCTTGTGGTGCTTGACCCACAAGGAAAAGTGTTGAGCCCTAATGCAATCCACATGATGTTGATATGGGGAAGTGGTGCCTTCCCTTTCACTAGCTTGAGAGAGGAAGCTCTTTGGAATGAAGAGATTTGGAGGCTTGAATTGCTGGTCAATGGCATTGATCAAACAATTCTGAATTGGGTAAGTCTATTCCATCATATATATATATATATATATATATATATATATATATATATATATACTTCCTACCAAAAACAATATACTCCTAATTAATTAGCATATGATAAAATATATTAAAATGGTATCAAAGTAAGGATGATAATGATCTTCGAGTAGAATGTATTTTTGATAACCTAGAGTTGACTGTGTTGTTTATTTTAGATAAGAGACGGCAAATACATATTCTTGTATGGAGGAGATGACATTGAGTGGATTCGAAAATTTACAACCTCAGCACGCTCTGTTGCATTGGCATCTCGCATCCCATTAGAGATGGTGTATGTGGGAAAGAGCACCAAAAGGGAGCAAGCCCGGCGTGTCATCTCGTCCATCATGACGGAGAAACTCAGCTACTGCTGGCAAGATATGGCCATGATATGGTTTTTCTGGACCCGTCTAGAAAGCATGTTGTTCTCCAAGATTCAACTAGGCAGAGGCGATGACAATGACCCCATGATGCTGGCGGTCAAGAAAATCCTCAGCTATGACAAGAGTGGTGGATGGGCCGTGCTGAGCAACGGAAGTTCCGTGGTGATCAATGGACACAGCAGCACTGTGTTGCCTGCATTGAACGAGTACGATCTGTGGAAAGAAAATATACCTGTCAAAGGCTTCGACCCATCAATTAAAGATTACCATGACAAGCTTCATGGCACAGCTCTGCCGTGCTGTCGTTTTGAGTTTCCGAGCACTGTCGGGAGGATTCCGGAGAATATGAAATGCCCAGAGTGCCGTCGTAATATGGGGAAAAACTTTGCTTACGTCTGCTGCCACGACGAAAGTGATGTCAGCGCACTATATTGAGTCACTACTGTGTGGTTCCATTAAGCCCGTATGCTGCTATAGTGATTGAACTACAATAATCATACATATATGTGAAATATGTTTGTGGTGTACGTGTGAACTTAATTTTATCTATTTAGTAAGATTTTGAGAGTGAGATACTAAATCTCTTATGCTGCAATTTAGTAAGATATTGAGTTTGCGATACTAAATCTCTTATGCTGTTAAGTATGAAATGATAAGGTAAAGGGTGGTTTATTAATAATTAATAGTATTAATTAACTTTTCTCCCCGAAAATTCAAATAATTATATTAATTTAGTATTAATAGTATTAATATAGGAATCTGTACAAGTTGGGTGGTAGGCCTAAAGATAGGCAAGACCCAGTTACAATAAGAACTGAACCCAAGACCAAACAACAAAAACAAGAGCCCTAGCTAGAAGCCTAAGGCTTGCAAACTTCAAATCTGACAAATCAGAGTAACTCTGCTAGCAGGTGCAATTCAAATCTCCAGCAATGCAGCAAAGGCTCTCAACTAAGAGAGCTCAGGCATTAACATCATCCGTCCGGTCAACTACGAGGCGGAGATAAGTTCCCATTCAGCAAGGAGAAGGAGCGTGACATAATCTTTGAGGAGAGCTTAGAGGTGATTGAATAAAGGATTCCCGGTTGAGTACTGTAGGGAGCATCAGAGCACATATATATATATATATATATGATAAAACTGTTGCTGCAAAAGCCAATTTACGGATGACAAATTGTGGGAACAACAAGAGCTCTACTGTCACGCTCCTGTATTAAAAACAGAGACCTATACTTAAATCTAGTGTAAGTCTTTATATTTAACCACTTAATTGAAACGGTTTTTAAGATAATAATCATTTAATACTTTTTTCAAAATTTAGTGATTAAAAGTAGGAGGTTGAACCCCTCATTTATCAACACAGTGATTTGCTATTCAAAAGGAAATATTTCTTTCCCTACAAAAAATGCTAATATTTTTCTAGTTAAAAAGAAAAAAGAAAAGGAATAAGTATGCTAGTTAGTGGTTTTAACTCTGTAACGCCCGAATTTTCTAAGAAAATGCTCTGATACCATTTTGTCATGACCTGAAAATTCCAATAAAATTCTCGATTCATTCAAATCCAAATACATCAAAATACATCGATTAAAAAAAAAAATACTCTCTTTGATACAAAATCAATTTCCTCAAACATATACAAAATTCTCCAAATAAATAGAATAAATCCTGCAACGCTGACTCTTCCACCGAATCTTGAAATTAGCAATCCCTATTCATCTTCGGTACCTAAAACTGGAGGGTGGTGAGACAAGAAGTCCTAGTAGGAAAAATCATAACAAGAATTTCATGGAAGTTTAATAAAACAGCTTCACAAAATAAACATATTCAGGTGAGTATATAAACAAAATACATATGCATTTAATTAAAACATTTAATAAAAACCATTTGAAGCAAAACCACTCCAAGCCATTCAAGGTATATAGAACCCTACACTAAAAAAGAATTTCCTCACTGGATCACCAAGTCTTTAAACCTCCGGCCTCCTCTGCAAACTCTCGGCTCACTCTCTATCCATCCTCAATCTCGGCCTCTCTGTCTTTCTCTCTTTATTTCTCTCTTATTTTCTATATCTTTACTAAACTAATAAGACAAATACTACAATATATAGACAATTTGCACCGACCCATATCATACAATAGCTTGCTCACCACACAATCAAAATATCAAATACATCATTACAAATGGACCTCGCCACCACCACCTTATCACATCATATCTCAAATATAAAGACACACTCCCATATGTCATATCAACCCAGGTGATCAGCCAACGCCAGAAGAAACTTGGCCAAAAAAGGTCAACTAATGGGCCCCACGCCAAATCACTACAATTGCCCTTCATTTCTTTTCTTCTCAGCCGTCCATCTTGCCTCCTCATCAGATACAAATTATATATATATATATGTATATAATATATATAAAGATGCAACAAAAAAACCAAGTCTCTTTCTTAAGTGGGACCTGCAGTATTACATATGTAACGACCCGAACCCGAGGGTCCGAATCGCTAACCGGGTCCTTACCCGAACCCGAAGTCGTCTAAGGGAACTATTGTGATGTTTTCAATTTTCGGCATTTTTCATTTTTCTGAATTTTGACGTCACAAGGGCATTTTCGTCTTTTACCGTTTTGCGTACCGGACACTACGGGGTGTGCCGGTTGTGTCTGAGAGTTGTTTGGGACCTTTCATTGAGTCCAGGACTCTTTGAAATGTAACGGTAATCATTTTTCCATTTTTCAGTTTTTCGGGCCAGACGGTCCCGTGTGGGACCCGCTGCCGGTATTATTGCATCCGGGGATGTTGGTTGGGATTCATTTGCATCATATTTAATTTACATAATGTGTTGTATATGGTTATGAGTTAATGTGTGGATATATGTGTGTATGTAGTGTAAATTAAAGGCAAAAGAAAAAGAGAAAAGAAAATAAAAATGGTGGGACCCACATCAAAGCTTAAAATGGTCAATGAGGCATATTTACCTCAGTTCTTGCCTCCCTTTTTCTCTCATCCGCTGGTTCTCTCTCTCTCTTCCTTAGCTTCACTTTTTCTTTTTCTTTTTGCTTCCAACTTCAATCCTAGATCTCTCTATCAATACTTAGTGTTTTTAAGAGCCGTTTGCGACAAATTAAAGCCCACGACGAGGCCTACAAGTTGATTGGAGACAATCTTCATTTGACCACCATTTGGAAGATCTCTAATCCTAGGGTCTGAAGTGTAAAATTGGGAGTTTTGCATCATTTTAAGGTAGGGGTCTCTAATACTCAAAGTCTTGTTCCTTTGTGAGTTTTCCAACTTTAATTGTTGCCAATCATGCTATATTTGAATTGATTATCTCTTAAATGATTTTAATTATGTATGTGAAGTATGCTATTATGTGTATTTGTTGTCTTACATGGAAAGTATGCCTAATTGTTGATCTTTTATGCTTGTTGTGTTCATTAAATTGTTAAAGATTGTTATGAGGAAGCATGCTAGTTGTGTAACATTAATTTTCCCCAAATTTTATGGTATCAAAAAGGGCATGTAACATGCATTCAAATCAAAGGGCATGAAAATGGTGAAATGATTTGAAAAAGATGAAAAAGGAATTTTTGGGGAGAAGTTTTGATAAAAATGGTTTTGAGAAAACCCGGTCGCCGCGAAGTCACCAAAGGGCCAGTGTGTTAATATAGCCTAGAGGGAACTAGGGAGATCGCCCTAGCGTGGTTGAGCTATCTGAGCCCAAAATGATGCTGCGGGGGTACCAAAGGTCAGGGATAGTAGCCAATCCTTCTCTCGTGTCGCTGCGGAGTCACCAAAGGGCGGGTTATATTAACAGTTTGTGAAGTGATGGATTTTCCTGAAAAATGGGGAGTGACATGCATGACATTGCATTCATGGCATGACACATAATTGTTTTGAACTGGGATTGATATTGTATTTTTACGTTGCTTTGTATGACCCCGTTTCCTATTTATTTATTCATTATTTGGATTCACGGGGCTACAAGAGGTGTGTCTTAGGTACCACCTACTGAGCTTTACGTTCACCCCATTATTTAATATTTTTCAGGAACCGGAAAGGAAGTAGTGGATGCTGACCTTCCACAAGCATGAGGATGACTAGGAGTTTAATTTATACCTTTGTATATTTTCCCATTCTTTTGTAAGTCATGGCCATGTAATATAATTAAGACTTTTGACTATATTTTGATGTAAATGGAAACCATGTAATTGTTGTGTTGAATGGGAGAATGATGATGTATTGTTGGCAAATTTAGTGACATCTATTCTTGTATAATGATGAGTGTTGCCGTGAATTCAGAATTTCAGTGCTTAATAGGTTCATTGTGGGTTTAGTATGCTTAATACACAATCAGATGTACTTCCAGTGAGTTTAATACCAGGAAAGCATGTTTCGGCCGGCTGATCCTTACTATCAGCCGACCAAAACTCCAAGTTCGGCCGACCGAACCCCCATTGTCAGTCGACCGAAATGCCTGCAGTGAAAGTCCTGAGAGCACTCAATTCTTCTCATTGTTTCAGCCGACCGACCATATAGGTCAGTCGGCCAACCATGCCTTGTCAGTTGGCCGATGAAGGTCCATTAGCCGGCTGACTTTTTCTTTTTGACCTGAAATGTTGACCAGCATTGTAAGCCTGAGTTCTTAAGTACTATGAGCCCTGGAGTGAGTCGTATGACAGGTTTGAACATAAGACATGGAGTGTATGACCTAGTTGATCTCGAGTTCGGGCAAGGACCCGGTAACGGTCCGGATCCACGGATTCGGGTCGTTACAAAGTTGGTATCAGAGCGATAGTTCAAAAACCATTAGGACGATGGGTAGAGGTCTGCATGGGGTTGCATGGGAAGTTACTTGCAATGTTTATGTGATTAATTGCTATGTGTTTTATTAATTGAAGAAACATGCTTAACTGATTAATTATTTATGTGCTTACATATTTATGCTAAGGTGTTATTGTATAGTTTTTCATGCTAAGTGTTAGTGTGACATTATTTCATGCTGAGTCGTCCACGGTGGACCATTGTGTCATGTCATTGAAGTGTTTTCTCATTTTTTTTAGAACGACGTCACGGCGTGAGGAACCAAGAGAAGTTGGCCCTAGGCCAACAAGGGGTGATGTTGGCGAAAGTTCCAGCTCCAACTCGGCGGAGCCAGTTGATGAGGACACACTTCTTAGGGATTTGATTGCCCCAAGAGTTGTTCCTACAAGGAGGGATAATGTGAAAGCACCCGTTGAAGAGGGTGAAAGCTCGGCGGAATTAGTATTGAATCACTTGTTGCAGAAGGCCTTGATGGCCACCATTGCTACACATCCGCAGTCGATACCTCAACCAGTACCACAACCTGTAGCTCAAGTTGAAGAGATGCCAACAAAGAAACGTCTCAAGATTATAAAAATGGTTTTCTCAATTGATTGATAAGTGCCGAATATTGCATATTCAAGCTCCATTATTTGCATTAGTTAAGTCCATTAGTTAATTATGATGTATTGTTTAGCTTTATTTGTTTATTTTCATCTTCTTTCAAGTTGGTTCCCCCGAAATTGGTTAAAAGAACGGTTTTGACGA